TCATTCCAAATGAAAAATTGTAAATACGTTTAAATTAAATACCTCATTTAGTAATGAAACAGAATCTATTATCTATAGGAATGTAGAAGTATGTTTTTAGATAATGTTTGACTTTTGTTATTGTGAATTTAAAATGCAACAACGCTTAGATATTTTCATTTGAGGTATATAATAATAAAGCATGGCTCCATTTAATCTTTTATTTTAATTATTTGGTAGCTTTCGGTTTGGGAATATGATGAAGTAAGTAAAATGACTCACTAGCTTGTCTGCACTTCTTGTAATAAAGTAGTATCATTTCTACACTTAAGGAAATTTTGTTATTTTATTCCTTTTCATTGGTTAATAACCTGATCCATCTTTAAACAGGTTGAATATGAAAAATTGGTAATGAATGTGGGTGAACTTGCACCCGTTAAAATTGTGATATCCTACGAGTTCTAGCGGTTTTAACAATTTTGAGCCATAAAAATTACCATGCTTAATGAATAAATAAATTAAAGAACTAATTTTTATTGTAAATTTGTAATATTTGGGATTCCTAATAACTTCAGTGTTCCAACAAAGACATATCCCGAGGGCCGAGACACAGAATCCCAATCCCGATGAGAGAGTGAGAGATGTGTCCCAATTCAACATTTCAACCTCTAAAATATTCGATTCCAAAGAAATTTCACCCACATTATAACCTTTGACAATATATAGCAACATATACTCTATATAATTTGTTTAATTTATGGAGTATAGGGCTGGACTCGGGCCGGGCGGCCCGACCCGGGACCGAACCGGCCCGGTCACTGTTTGGCCTGGCCCGGCCCGTGGCCCGGTGGGTCCACCGGTTCGGTTTGGCCCGGCCCGGGTGTTGGGCGGTCCGAGCTCGGGCCCAGGTTTTGGTGAACCGGCCCGGCCAGTTCGGGCCGGGTCCGGGCCGGATTTTAAATTTTTTTTTTTTTGAAATTTTTTTAAGTTTTAGGTTGGATTAGGTATTTTGGGCCATTTGAGGTGGTTTGGGATGGTTTGGGGTTGAGGGGGAGGGGTAGGGGATTAAATAGGAGAACAAAAAAAAAAAAAAAATAATTGGGCCGGTTCGGCCCGGCCTGGTTTGGCCCGGAACCGGAACCGGCCACCGGCGGTTCGGGCTCGGGCCTCCCTTTCCTGGCCCGAGGCCCGGCCGGGCCCAGGCCCGAACCGGGCCCGAACCGGGCCCGAACCGGCCCGAGTCCAGCCCTAATGGAGTACATCAAACATTTCAACATGTACCAACAAAATTAATATTAACATTTTTCTAACTAACTTCATTCAAAATAAAATATTGTAAATATGATTAGATTAAGTGTTGCAATTACTTCCATTTTTTAAAAAATGTCTTTCTAAGTATTTTTTTTGGAAAAACTGCATAATAGTAAAAGTTAGTAATGTTTGAGAAAAAATTGATTTTGAAAAGTATAAGTTGGTATTTTTTGGTAAAATATATGTAGTATGTGTTTTTTGTGTAATGAAAAAAGTAAAAAGCAGATTTTAGGTTTTAAGTGTTCAATTTAAGAAGTTATCACTTGTAAACACTCATTTCAATTTTTTTTAACTCAAAACCTGAAAAACTTTTTTTTAATTTTGTGCAAACACACCCTAAACACACCCTAAGTGTTCAATTTAAGAATGTTTGCTTTTAGATATTGTTTTCATTTTTGTTAGGAAAATGTCATAACTGTTATTCTTTAAAATGTGATCTACAAAAATATTACTATCTCCGTCCCACTAATATTCGGACGAAAGGGGGTGACACAGTTATTATAAAAGTGGCTTTATGATTGATATTTATTGATAAAAGTAAAAATAAAGCAAGAATAATTTAGAGCCACAAAAACTTTACCAAATTTGGTATGACACAATTTTAGTGGAATTTCCCGAAAAGGTAAAATGAGACAATATTAGCGGGACAAAAGGAGTACTTAGTAACTATTAGTGACCTCAATTTTGTTCAAAGTTTACATTGTAGTAACTAAATGTAAGTTATTGTGATGTAAACTTTGAACACAACTATAATCACTAATAGTTACTAAGTCACATTTTTGTACATTTTTATTATTAGTAGTATTTAAGGAACCTCCCCCCCTCCCCCCCTTTTATTGTGAATATAAAATACAATAACGTTTAAATATTTTCATTTGAGTTATATAATAAAGAATATTTCCATTTACTCTTTAATTTTAATTATTTGGTACGTTTTGGTTTGACAATATGATGAAGTAAAACAAAACGACTCACTAAATCCTCTACACTTCTTCTTATAAAGTAGTAGTCATTCAATAACCAAGCATTCCAGCGGAGCTGGTTGTGAGGTTACCGTGCCTAGTGGGAGGTCTCGAATTCGAATCCTGCTATGCACACAAGGGTTGGAAACTCAATGGATTGAGTTTCAGCCCTTATTACTCCAGGCTTCCCCAGTCCCCCCAGACCCCCCTGGAGTAAAAAAAAAGTAGTAATTCAATGCAATTGTTGTCGCGAGTTTCGTTATAGAACATTCGGGAACGTTATCTCTGTGCTTTAGTATTGAGGTAAGACTGCTAAATCAGATCTCCTTTACCTCGTTGCAGGTGGGGAGCTTTTGCGGCACTGGGGTAACGTCGTTGTTGTTATTGTATTTTTTTTTTAAATGTGTAAACTTGAAAGATATTTTATAATGTTGCTTTTAGTTCAATAATCTTAATTGTCATCAATATGCATGTCATTAGTTTATTTCCTTTTACTTTAAGGAAATTTTGTTATTTTATTCCTTTTCATCGGTTAGTCCCTTGATCCATCGGTAAACAAGTTGAATATGAAAAATTGGTAATGAATGTGGGTGAACTTGCACCCGTTAAAAATGTGATCTCCTACGAGTTCTATCACTTTTTAAACAATTTTGAGCCATAAAAATTACCATGCATAATGAATAAATAAATTAAAGAACTTATTTTTATTATAATATTTGGGATTCCTAATAACTTCAGAGTTCCAACAAACACAAATCCCGAGACACAGAATCTCGAGGAGAGAGTGAGAGACATGTCACAATTCAAGGTTTCAACCTCTAAAATATTCGATTCCAAGGAAACTTCACCCACATTATAACCTGTGACAATATAAGGAACATATACTCTATAACATTTATTTAATTTATGGAGTATATCAACAATATCAACATTTACCAACAAAATTAATATCAACAACATTCTAAACTAACTTCATTCAAAAAAAATTGTAAATATGATTAGATTAAGGGTTGCAATTACTTTCATTTTTAGAAACTGACTTTTTATGGGGTTTTTTTCCAGAAAAAATGCTTAATAGTAAAAGTTAGTAATGTTTGAGAAAAAATTGATTTTTAAATGTAAAAGTTTGTATTGTTTGGTAAAATATATGTTTTTTTGTGTGTAATGAAATATGTAAAAAAAAAAACAGATTTTAGCTTTTAGCTTTTGAGTGTTCAATTAAAGAAGTTGTCACTTATATACACTCATTTCATATTTTTAATTCAAAAGCCGAAAAACATTTTTTATTTTATTTTTGTGAAAACATACCCTAAATGTCTCATTTAGTTTTGAAACTGAATCTATTGTAATATATGTTTTAAGATATTGTTTTAATTTTTGTTAGAAAAGTCTCATAAATATTACTCTTTAAAATGTGATCTACAAAAATATTACTATCTCCGTCCCACTAATATTCAGACGGAAGGGGGTGACACAGTTATTAAAAAAGTGACTTTATTTGGTTGATATTAATTGATAAAGTAAGAATAAAGTAAGAATGATTTAGAGCCAAAACTTTACCAAATTTGGTATGACACGATTTTTGTGGGATTTCCCGAAAAGGTAAAACGAGACAATATTAGCAGGACAAGAGGAGTACTTAGTAACTATTAGTGACCTTAATTTTGTTCAAAGTTTACATTGAAGTAACTAAATGTAAGTTACTGTGATGTAAACTTTGAACACAATTATAATCACTAATAGTTACTGAGTCACATTTTTGTACATTTTTATTATTATTAGTATTTAAGGAAACCCCCCTTTTTGTTATTGTGAATATAAAATAAGTTTAGATGTTTTCACTTGAGTTATAAAATAAAACATGGTTCCATTTACTCTTTAATTTTAATTATTTGGTACTTTTTGGTTTGACAATATGATGGAGTAAAACAGAATGATCTCGTTTGCACTTCTTGTTAAAAAGTAGTAGTCATTCCATGAAATTTTTGTCGCGAGTTTCATTATAGAACATTCGGGAACGTTATCTCTGTGTTTTAGTATAGATGTAAGACTACTAAATCCAATCTGCCTTATGCCTTACTCCATTGTAGGTGAGAGCCTTTGCGACATTGGGGTAATGTTGTTGTTATTGTATTGTTTCTTTAAAATGTGCAAACTTGAAAGTTATTTTATGATGTTGCTTTTAGTTCAATAAATCTAATTGTCATTAATATGCATGTCATTAGTTTATTTCTTTTTACTTAAAGGAAACTTTATTATTTTATTCTTGTCCATTTGTTAATCACTCGATCCATGTGTAAACAGGTTGGATATGAAAATTTGGTAATGAATGCGGGTGAACTTGCACCCGTTAAAATGCGATCTCCTACGAGTTCTATTGGTTTTTAACAATGTTGAGCCATAAAAATTACCATGCATAATGACTAAATAAATTAAAGAACTATTTTTATTATAATATTTGTGATTCTTTATAACTTCATAGTTCCAACAAACACAGATCCCAAGACTTAGAATCCCGAGGACGGTGTGAGAGACGTGTCACAATTCAACGTTTCAACCTCTAAAATATCTAATAAACACAGATCCCGAGACACAGAATCCCAAGGACAAAGTGAGAGACGTGTCACAATTCAATGTTTCAATCTCTAAAAATTCAATCCCTAAGAAACTCCGCCTACATTATGACCTCTGACAATATAAGTAGCTCATACTCTCTATAAATATAAATGAATTAAAGCATTAAGAGTACTTGACTTGGGTGTGGTTGGACAAACAAAGGTTGAGTTTGATATATCATAGCTTCTTCTAGCATGGAAAGTCCAAGAAACCCATTAATGGGGGAAGCTCACCTTCAAGGAAATGTGGTTCCGATTGAGGAGAAAGTCGATGAAGACGAAATTGAAGTTTGTGACGTTTGCAAAAGGAAGTTTGCTAGTGACAAAGCATTGTTTGGCCACCTGGCGTGGCACAAGGACCGTGGGTGGCGTGGGGCTCACAAGCCACGAACTTTCAGTATCAAAGAGTTTGCCGAGTATCGAGAGCTTTTAGTGAAATCAGAGGAGGAACAGCTTCTGGAAATCGAGGCAGAAAAAGCTGCTCTGGCCGCCGCCCCACCACCTCCATGTCGTAATCCCCTTTCTACGCAGGAAGAAGCACACATAGGTGCTCAGGGTAGAGCTCCTAGTAGGAGAAGAAAAACTCGCAACCCATCGAGATTATCTCGCACTTGAAAGAATAACTAGAAATATCAATAAATATAGTGAGAAGATCGTTCTTCTTCCTATGTATTTGGGGTTTGAGATACTTTAGTAGAAGTTTCGTTGTCTTTCGAAAGTAAACTTTAATCTTTAATTGTCAAATTATAAACAAAATTTGCAAGAATATTAGGCTTTTCATATATTTTTTCAATGTTTTGATATCAATGTTCTGTTTTTGGGTTCCTCAATTTAGTTTTTTTTTGTGTTTTAATTCTTTGTGTTGAATTCCAACACTTAGAGATGGATGCAGACATATATTTGACAGATTAAGTCATTAAACCACAAGAAAAGAGTTGAAAATTGAGCATAAAGTGGTCATATGATGCTGCTGCATTGAACGACTGAAATATCACATATCTACAATAATTCTCTCTTTCACACTTGGCCTAATAACCTTTCAAGTACTTTGTAATATTTATATCTACGACCATAAAAACGTTTGATTGTTTGTATATATAAAAAGCACAATGTTTTTCAAATAATTTATTTAATAGACTTTAAAATTAATTTTTAAACGGAAATTTAGGGACATAATCTACATTTCATGAGCAACATTCTCATAAAATTTCATAAAACAACTATATCGGAAACCACCTCAAACCGTAAACTCCACACAAAGATCTCGAACAAGAGTTTCTGATATAAGTTGTCCTCTAAATATGTATATAGAGGGGTTGGGTGGGGTTGAAAGGGACACTTATCCCCTGCCCCCATATGGACTGGCCCCTGGTTACTATGTTAATTACTCCCTCCGTCCCCTAAAGAAGTTCTCATTTTACTGTTTTGACACTGTTTGACACTGTTTTGCACTGTTTGACATTGTTTTGATGTAGATAATTTTTCATTTAAGGAAATGAGAACTTAAATTAGGGACATCCAAATAAGAAAAGTGGGAACTTCTTTCGAGGACGGAGGGAGTATGTATGATGGCCATGGGGCACTTTTGAATTCTTAATTCTTAATAATTTAAAAAGATGTTCATGTTGGTGGCCACCTCTCCCCTGACAAATATTTTAAATAATTCATGAACTCTCGTATATGTTGGTCGGTTTGTTTTCATGTATTTTCAAAAGAAAAACAAGTTGACATGAATGATTTAATTAGAGAAATTACAACGGGAATTCTTTTTCATATAAAAAAACCTATCACATCCTTAACCTTCCTTTTGAACTCTAAACTGACCTTTCATTTTAGATTGGGAAAATTGTCAAATAGGTCCTCGAACTTTCATAAAAAGGTCAATTAGGTCCTTCTATAGGAGGTTCTGTCCGGCTGTCGCGATTTGGGGCAGTTCCCGGTGGAATTTTTTGATGAATTTTTTTGAGCATCTTATTCACCAAGTCTAGTTTACGCATACCAAATTTCAGCTAAAAATTCAATCGGGAACACATTCAAATTAATTCTTGAAACTTTAAAAGCTTTTAATCAATGCTTATTCTTTTTTTCTCCCTGAAATATTACTCAACTTAATAGCTAGCAGTGGAAAGGGCCAGTTATAATTATAATTGCAATCACAGATATAATTATAATTATAATTATAATTATTATAATTATTGCTATAATTACCATTATAGTTATAATTATAATTGTAATAGGTATAAAATCATATAATTATAATTATACCTATTATAATAATTATAATTAAAATTATAATTGTAATTTTATCCATAAAATATTGTAATTATAGTTGTGACTATAATTATATGTATGAGTACAATTGTAAATATATTTATAATTATGATTATAGCTATAACTAATAATAGTAATAAGAGGAAAATATTTTAAATTCACCAAAATTTAATGGGGTGTGAGTTAAGTACCCCAAACCATTTTACAAATACAAATTTATTGGAATAATTACATAATTTAAAATACTTTACGTTTTGCTAGAAAGCAGTTAACATTCTAAAATTTCATTTGTGAAATAAATAATATTACATGCGATACAATTTAATTTTAATTGCACCCTGATAAATGTTTTGTGCATTTGAAATTATGTATTTAACACAATAAAATTACATTTGTGAAAAATATATGATCATGATGCTAACATAATTTTTTATATAAAGTTTGATATATATATATATATATATATATATATATATATATATATATATATATATATATATATATATATATATATAATGTTAATAATAGGGAATCTGTCAATTTGGTTCTGTTACTATCACGAAAACGTCAATTAGGTCTTCATACTTTAAAAATATTATCAAATCCCCGAACTTCTAAAAAACGTTAAATTGACTCAATTAGCAGATTACATACCATGTCATCACCGCTGACATGGTGCTCTCATACGAAAATAGGGAGTATCAGTTTCCTCAAAAGAATCCTCTCATTCTAAATAACTTTTCAAGGGGGTCAAAAAAGAAGAAAGAAGTATAAAATAAAATAAAATCTAAATTAGGGAAACCCTACAATTATTTTTATTATCATGATGCCATGGAGACATTGCATGAATGACAATACAGAACTCCATAAACCTTATGGAAATGACTAAAATTTTGACGAAGTTCACAAATAGGACTATTTATATTTTATTCCCAAAATAAGACTTATTTGATCCTATTAAAAGTATAAATCTTCCTTCTTTAGGAGTCAATAAGTCCTATATTTTCAGGAAAGAAAATAATAATGATCTCATTTGTGCCCTTTATCTATGTTTTAGTCCTACCAATCATCCGGAGGCAGATAGTTGAGGTCAATAAAGATGATGAGCTCCCCCTCTCCGACAACTTCTTCTTCCTGCTCCGGCGGCATGTCATTGAGATCCACCTCCAAGCCACCTTTTTTCTCCCTTTCTTCCACCGATGGTGCTACTTCCTGGAAGGGAGAGGAGTTAGGGTGGCGTGGCGGTGGGGTGGCAGCCATTGCATCTCCTTCCGCCTCAAACTTCACTAAAGGCTCCCTATTATGAGTGGACTCTTCAATGCTAAAAGTTGGAGGACTCTGAGCTCCACCCCACTTGTGACACAGCTGATGGTCAAACAAGGCCTTCTCGGTGGCGAACCCCTTGCCACAAATTTCACAGACCTGCCCCTCCTCTTCATCAACTTTCTCCTCAATCGGAACTAAAGAGGGCTCATCATGAAAATGGGTTGGTGATGGATGAGCCCCGACCACAACCATGTCACCTTCCTCCACCACCGATGATTTGTTAGCACTTTGCATGCTAAAAGAAGCTAAGATCTATCCAACTTAACCTTCGTTTGTGTGAACTGATCACTAGTCACTACTGCTTAATGTTTTGTTTTTTATACTACCTCCGTTCTCTTTTAGTTGCAACGTTGGACTTTTTGCACTATTCACATATTCTACTTTGACTACATTTTATTAATTGATATATTATAAATTAAATTTTTAAAAAATATTGTTAAACTCTTTTTATTCAAAATTTTCAAAATATGAATTTTTTAATTTTTTTTACTAATACGGAATGAAAGATATTAATGGTCAAACTTGTGCGTTGGCAAACGTGAAATGTTGACTGTTGCAATTAAAAAGGAACGGAGGAAGTATTTATATATCATGCATGTGTTACTTTTACTATCCCAAAAAGAGTATAATTAATGTTAAGCCGTTGACATATGTTTAAGGTTACGTTGTGATGGCCGTCCTCGGGATTATCGGGTGGTTGAACAGTCGGGAAGTATTACAGTGAAAAATAAGTTTGATCCTAATCCTGAAATCCAACACATATTAATACTACTAGTAGAATAGCAGTTTTATTTCAAGTCCCTCGACTACTTTAATTTCAACCTTATCAAAAAGTAACTGTAATGTTGATATTTGTCAATTGACTTTTAATTTTATATAGGTAGATTCTATGGTACCTAAAGGTATTATACCTTTGTCCACATGGACCAATGAGAATGTTACAGTTGAATTATTTAAATCTAAATTAAAAATGATAAAGTGATGTGGTCCAATCAAATGGATGATAGGTACGGTACCTCATTTTTTAAAAAGGTACCGGAGTTGTCACCTTTTATATATACGGTATACCAAAACAAAACATAAAAGGGCTGTTGATATAACGGTTACGGTACTGTTGTATGATGACCGAGAGGTCTCGAGTTGAAGTCCCGGTAGCAGTGGACTCAGGAAATATATATTGGGGTATTGTAGACTCACTGACCTATCTAGAAAATTTTAAATGTACAAGTATGTATAAAAAGAAGATAAAATTACGCGTGTAGCAAATCACATACTACGTATAATCTTACACTAAAAACTTACCACGCATTTATATTACGTGTGAACAGAGATGAAATTGTAGATAAAATTTGAAAAAAAAGACCTAAATAAAAGTGGGAAAAATAATTAAAATACTTCAAACTTTGAAAGAGTGTGTGATGAATACCCCAAACTTGCATATGTATTTTACATACCCCAAAATTTATATAAAAAATTATTTTGGCACCATAGTCAAGTATTATTTCTTTCAAAAATGTAAATTTATGGTGTTAATTGCATAAATTTAATTTTTTTAGAATTCATGAAAACACAATACATGAACATATTAAACTTCCATTGAAAGAAATAATACATGACAATGGTGCGAAAACAACTTTTTATATAAAATTTGGGGTATTTAAATTACATACATAAGTTTGAGCTGAGGTGTTTACTTCACACCCCATCAAAGTTTGGGGTATTTTTATTATTTTTCCCAATAAAAGTTAAACATAACAAAGTTCAATGACTTTTTCATCCTTTTATTTTTTAATAGAATTTATAGGGAATAAAATGCGTACTCTTAATCCTATTTTAGACTTTTTCCGAAGTTTAACTCATCTTTTGAGCAACTTCTTATAAAATCTTAGGTTATATATATAGGGGCATAGTTGGGATTGGGGGTGGGGGGGCTGCCCCACTATCTCCACATGGATACACCCCTCACGGTAATTAAAACAAAATAATTGTAGAAGTTCATTGTTATAATTTTTTATATACTACCCCGTGGTATCCAAAATGAATATTTAAAATAGTACACAGTTAAAAAAATTTAGAAGAAGACAAAAATATATTATTACAAAAGAGTAAATTAAGTTAATACCTTAAAGTTGTGTCCGGTTTTTTTTGCAAAGAGATAAATTCCTAAATC